TTCATACCGTTTCATCTCTAATTCAAACTACATGAGCCCTTTTGCGTCTCTAAGCAAGGCACATGATCATCGAATAAAAGCTGAATGACTATTGTAATAAGAATTATTAGTGATATGAAATGACATACAAGTAGGCCTGTCACAATAATCAATATATCGACTTATATATGCGCAATATATGTACATGACCTCAATAATTTTTGGTGACGCAATATATCACCCATTATATTTACTTAAAAATTAATGTCACCTAAATATTCTTAAAATTAAAAGTTTGTTGTCATTTGGAAGTGTGTAGGCCTTCTTGCATTATTATGCCATTACATTATGATTATATATTCAGTGGCATAAAATGGTCTTTAAAATGACAATAATATTGCTTATCGCAATTATTTCTGGGGCAATATATCGCACAACAAAAAGTTGTTATCGTGACAGGCCTACATACAAGTATAAACCTGTCCTAAAATTCATTTTCTGAGGAAGTGGATTATCTAGATGCCTGGGTGTGGTATCAGTTCAGTCACAAAGACATGCACACATTGTGAAAGCACTGTAAATGCACACCGTGTGCTGATATTCTTGCTCCTGCTCTTTGTTGCATGCTCAGTCCACAAACTGACACTCTTCATTTTCATCAGAGCACTTAGTGTGCTGACGAGCAGAGTGTGAGATGGAGATAAACAGCTGTGCAATATCTATGTGCACTTTTAGATATTCAACTGATTGATAGTAGCAAGGAAATGGATTATAATGCATAAATGAATAAATATATACAGTATATACAGAAAAGCACTGTATATTTTATATAAGGTTGCAAAGAAGATAAATTCAGCTATACAAAGCTCAATGCCTAGCCTAATGCCAGAGGCAAAATAAACTTCAGCATTGGCATACTGTTTGCATATATAAGGAATAGCACAGGGGTGTAATATTAGGATATATAGTTGGCTATCAAAAACAGGCAGAAGGGCAGTTATCTGTCTATTACAGATCTAGGACTCCAGAGAGTTTCTAATCAGCCAGAATAATAAACCTGCATAGTCTAGAAGTGTATACTCCTCACAAAAGAACTGGATTTAGGGTGTTTGTAGGCCCGGAGCTCTATTAAGAATGGCAGGCAGTCTAAGCAATAGTAGAGCAGTGCTTTTATAAAACTCCCAGAAGGGAATTCACAAATAAGGTGCAAATCAATATGTGCTGCAAAGCACATTAGAAAAATAAATTAATAACTCTTACAAATAATTTGCATATTCAAAGAAAAGTAGCTGTAGTCACTACTACCATCACCATTCATTGCAATTCATTTCATTTGGATAAGTATTAGTTTGGCATATGAGACATCAAACAAACCATTTGAAGTTTAATGTCAACAGACTTAGAAATGTTCAAACAGCCAACCCCAAGCAAACACACAGAACTATGTTCCATTCAGAGCATGATGGATGCTTTCAATGTTTAACTGTTTCAATGTGTAAATCAGACAACAGCAACAATTGTGTCTCGCAAATGCAGCACACATCAAACTTGCTACAGAATGTCTTACAAAAATCTAGTCAACAACTGTACAGTAAGAGATAGTAACACATAGCTGAAGACTTTAAAAGTCTATAATCTGTGTACGGTAGCAATCTGTTTGAGCTCATGTTTCTTCAAACTCGTTCATGAAACTGCTGAGCAAGGACAGTGCGGTAGCTGAAAAACAGCCATCATACAAGCCTGTGTGTCTGGCAGTGCTGGGGATTTATGAAATGACTTTCCTTGTCTGAATTGTTTTTAATAAGCCATCCGCTGCTCACAAGTACAGCACAATATGACATGCAATATGAGCTACAGTGCAACTCTGAATCACAGGTGGTGCGGGGTGTATTTCCATTAACAAATGATCTGTTGGCAATTTAAAAGAAAAAGAAAATCACCAAGTATGCCACATAACGGAGTCAGTTAAACCAATCTCATCTCCATAAGGTATTTTAGTGTATTGTTCACATTATTTTATGATGATTGATTATTATATGTACTCTATATGTACTCTTGACGAAATGATTTTCCCTGATTGCACTGCAATAAAAACAACACATCTCAGGAGTCACTGAAATTGGGGAAGGGCAAATAAAAAATTCTGACTGGAAAAAAACAGGCTCATATTCTTGTTTTGTTTAAGGGTTAATTCTGCCCCTGTTAAACAAGCGTAACTATACACAGGTGTCAATTTTATAAGCGTTATTTAATACTCAAATCTGCTTGTACACTGCATTCTTGTAAATTGTTAATTATCATAAATAGGGTGGTTGACATTCAACTATGAAAATATTTGAAATTAACAAAAAATCTTTGAGAAAACAAACATTATATAGCTGTTCTGTGCATACTATTGCCAAATAAGAGAAGTAGACTGTGAAAATAGTTCTTCATATATTAACCCCACTTTTGTCATGTATTTCTAGTCTCTGAGCTAAACTAACAACTGTAGTTATGCAATTTGATGGCAACTTTTCTTCATTCTTGTGAGCTTAATTTCTGTAGAACAATGTGTCTATATACATAAAGATGTTCCTTAAATACAGTAACACATGATTTCACCTCAATCTTATTTCTTTTCCATTGCTTGCCTATCACACAACATTACAGAAATAGACCTACAGGTCAAAGAAGGGAATATAATGGAGGAAACTGAAATGAGACAATTACCAGTGTCCAACAGCTATAAAAATGCATTAGTGCGTGATTTAGTGATTTACATTATTAAAGGAACTCAACTTAAGGTGTTTCGCTCTGATTCTTGCTTCTACAATAACTTGTGTTATTTCTGAGTCTGAAATCATTTTGTGACAGAATGAGGTGAATGTTTTAAGGGTTCCTCAAACCACTGCTAATATTACACATGCACAAACTGTTGATCAAAAAGAGCAGCTGCCAGAACAAAATCCCAAGGATGTTCTTATGCAATCATCACAACAAATCATTTTCTTAACATCAAAATGGCTTGAGAGGATCCTGAATACTCTGCTCATGATTTTAGGTTAAGCTTTCTAATAAGATGTTATCTGGGGCCAAGGACGACAATTATGGTGTCATAGATGTCTGGGGAAATAAGGGCACTGAACTTGCCTCACTGGAAACAAAAGTCAAACACCAGCTATTTTTGCAGTCAGCATCTGAAATGTTCACTCCACTCGTACATCAGATAATCACAACAAATGTTCCAAGGCAAAAAAAAAAACATCAATAAAGGAACAAAGGCCTTGAAACATGATGATGCTCATTTTCACTCCATACATATATTAAGCTGCTGAATAAGTGGGTTTAATGTGACATATCTGCTTTTCTGAGGAAGCGAATTAAGACCTGCAGTAAACAGCAAAGGGCTAAAATCCAGAAACAAATCCCAAACAGCTACGTTTACAAGCAACCAAATAATCCGTTTGTAATCGGATTGACGGCTCAATCACGGTTCTTCCTTTTGAATAAAGTGTTGTATAAATGCATGTCCTGTCATTACAAAACTCTCCTTTCACTGGGCAACTGTGAAGTGGAGCAGGACAACCTTCCACCAGTCCTTGTTTTGGATACTCATTCACAGGCAACCCGTTTTGGGCGCGGGGAGGGGCATTTTTACTGCGTGATAAATATGAGCAGCACTGCACAGCGGTTTATATGTATATTTATTCATAAATGGATACATATTAATTCTGCTGTTAAAAACAAGTAAGGAAACCGGGTAGGAGAGCGGTTATGTGCAAACACTGAGAAACTCTATATTTGTGCAGTGTGCGCATCAATCAATTCCGATTTGAAGCTTTGACATATAAACACGCACAACCCGATCACTCTATTTACCGTTCATGTAAACACTACATTCAGATTCATCAATCGGAATGAATTCAGTCCGATTGAACCAAAAATTGTGCATGTAAACGTACAGTAGTGTGAGTCAGTGACCTTTGGGCTACTACATAGAATAAGATGGTTTTTATTTACTGTAATCCCAAACACCTGTCTCCTCTACTGTAATCCCAAACACCTGTCTCCTCTGTAGTACAATCACATCCAATGAACTCCAGAGGGGCTGCAGATCACACACAGTCTTAACTGAATCTTTGATTGTACCCCATATGCCTGGTTCACTTTTCTTTTAACTGCATTTCATCCCACTGCTGTCACTGAATATGTTCAAGTTCAGAGTGAGAGAATGTAATGGTACCATAAAGAGGAATTTCTCACCCTTTTTCCAAGTAAGAAACTGTCAAGATGAAAGATTATGAATCAGACAGATTAATGTGTCATTCTATTAAACGGTTAAAGCAGACATAAAGGTGACTGATACTATAGGCTACTAGATATCACCCTCAATGAAAATTAATCATCCTTATTCTCCAAGCCAGCTTGGCATAACGTAACTCAAGATAAACGAATAGAGGGTTTAAGATTTATGATTGTTTTCCTCATTTGGCAGTCAGATGGTAATTAATCACATTAAAGCAATTAAGAAGGCTGTCTCTGTGCAGCTGGGCTGATCTCTAATGTCCTTCAGATATACAGCTGTACTGAGGTAGGTGGAGAGGATTTATCTGTCAATTCATATGATACAGCTGATAAAACGGCTAAATTATCAGTACTACCACAAGACCTACAAAGTGAAGTGAGACAAAGGAGTGTACTGAAAGACAGAACAACTACATCGTGTGACCACTTTCAGTTTGAAACTGCACTCTGTTACCTAAGGAATACATAGAAGAAACAGTGAAATTCTGTCTGTATAATGAAGATAAAATAATAAATGTAGCGCATGAGAACAGCTTGTGCAGGTGTAAACCTCTTGCAACCCCTCAAAATCTGTTGTGCAGAGGCTGGGAAAGAAATTCAAGGACACACTATTTTTTGGTATCTGGTACACAGGAACACAGTCTAGTTTGAATGAATATTTGGAAAACATGCATTTTATAAACTGGCACACTGCATCACATCATGTCACTGAAAAGAATGAGAACTGCACCTACCTCTCTCAGTGGTCAAGACAAGCGGCTTTGAGGTGCTTTTCACTGTCCATGAACTGTTTGCAGTATCCAGTGCAGGTGGTGTTGTGTTTTTTGTGCCACTTAATGGAGAGGAAGAAGTAGGTTTTACTGTATTGTTTTGTGTTGTGGAGAATGTGGAGCTTTCTTTGACTTTACTGCGTTTGGAGGTTGGGTCCATTGTTTTGGTAAGAGGCGCAGCCGTGGTGGTCAGCCAGAAGGGCTGTAGTTGGTTAGTTTTACCAGTGGTCCTAGATGTGATGGTCATTTTGGGGGTGAAAGGTGAAAATCTGGAGTCCCTGTCGTCCTCCTGTAAGTGGTTTGGGATGGTGGTAGTAGCCTCCAACGTCTCAGCCAACACAGCACGCGGGAGTCTCGCGCCTGGAGATGCGTTCTCATCGCTCGATAAACCAGCTGTGTATCCTAACAACAACAACTCCAAAACTGAGAACAGTAACATAGTGTAACGCATACACGTCATTTTGTTCTTTAGCTATCCATGTGAAACGTTACAATTGTATCCTTTAGTACTATACAGATGTTATTCTTACTACCGAATCCGTGTTTCAGCCAATTGTCTCCACTTGTCCACTCGCGCTGTGAACTGCAAGGTTTCACTCCAGCGGGACTGACAGTTGTAAACCCCGCCTACTACGGCCACGCCTCTATCCAATCAGAGCGCAGGCTACATAAAGATTGGCGTAACACTGCACCAATCATACGACTGTGAGGAGGAGCCGCAAGACCGACAACTATGAGCTGTCTTGAAAAGTGACAAAAGAAAACAGGTAAGTCGACATTAAATAGGTCTGGGTGATACTACCGAGATAAGAGCCTAGGCAGAGCCAATAGTGAGAATGAAACAAAGAAACCTGCCTGAATTTGAAGCAATGCCAAAAAAAAAAAAAACCTTTAATAAAGCTATCAAATCAGCAGGGCCCATTCTTACCTGTATGTAACTCGTGTATAAACTGTGGTTAACACCACATTATGGAAAAATTACAATTTAATGCCGTTAAAATTCATACGATGTTATTGGATTCATTGTTAATGGAAAGTCTTACGGAGAAACTCCATTCGCATAAAGGAGGTTTAATAAATGCACGAGAAAGACGTCGTGCTTGCGCTGAATAAAAGTACAGAGTAATAGCGTCCTCTAGTGGTGACGCACCATTAGTAAAGAACACGCTACTACCCGTCAGTTGCCGCAGGTGCTCGACGACTGTGCTGCTCTGAGCTAAATTAATTTGACTGGTATTTCAACAATACATAAAACGACAAAATATAATGTAATACTTTATTTAATATAATCAAAATATGCAGATGACTAAAATATCCTGAACTTAATAAAATAAACTAATCTCTTGCTTTTGTTTTTAAAGCTTTTCACAGACTTTTCTGGAGTTTGACAATCAAAAAGAATAAAATAGGATGAGAAAAATACCTGTTTTTACTTCTGGCACTCAAATAAGAAAATTTCAGATCTTGTCATGATCAGGAAAGAATTACACTAAAATGTTACATTAAAGGCACAACATGTAATTTTTTTGCCACTAGAGGGCGCTTATTCAAAACAAACAAAGGCGTAGTTAGATGGCGCCGTGACTGAGTGTGGAATCATGGGAGTTGTCGTCTTCTTCCCCACAGCCGAAGCAATCCGATGGGACTCGGGTAGAAATCATGTTCATGGCCGGTGTCTGTTTCTATAAAGTGGGGCAGTTACAACTTTGCAAGGACGGTCTGGCGCTTCTGACTCACAGCCTGGAAGTAGGTTTTTTATATTTAAAGAATTTGCCACTGACGATTCAAACACGAGTTTTGAGCAGTGTAGAGTAGCACTTGTTGTTTGTCGTTTCTCCAGACATGGTTTTATGTTTACGCAGTGCGATACGCAACACGTAAAAAGACCGTATAAGTCATTATAATCAGTAATTATGTCAAGTATGTTTGATGTATTGCAGTTTAAAAGCTTTTGTTGTTTTTTTCCGGTTCTCTTTTTATTCTTTTTTTTTTTTTTTTTTTTTTTGTCTCGAGTAAGACACTGTATGACATTCACGTTACATGATTTGACTGATTTTTACATAGAAAGGGCGACAGCGCACCGCATTAAAGAAATAACATAAGCGGTTTTCATAACCGCTGGCCAAATAAAAAAATGAAACTAAAATTAAATCATCTTTGAGAGCAAGGGGGCCCCCTGGTGTTTCGGGGGCCCTACGCAGCTTGCGTACTTTGCGTATAGGGAGGATCGGCTCTGGGCGACACAATGACACTATAGACACGGTCCGTGTCACTAGTTAAAATTGCTTATTTCTCTGGATTTAAACATTCTTCGAAACATTTGGGATAATGTAAGTACACAAGTCAGCAAAATATATAAAACTGTTCTAGTGGTTTTTGGATATTTTAATAAAAAAAATCGTGCATATTGTGCATTTAAAGGCACAACTTTGGGAGAAACCAGGCTCAGTCGGGGGCCAGTTCTCCTCTGGCTAGACAAAACCAGCATGGTGTGGTTTAATTCCAGACCTCGGAATGAGAATAAAACAGACTAATATTAGCGCAGATGCCATTCTTCTTACGATGTAACAAGTACATCAGGTGTTGTGGGAAGTGTTCCCGGTTCCGGTTGACCTAATGCAGCCTAACAATCCTTTAACGGATTTGAATTATAGAAAAGTTATCGTGTGTTATGTGTAAGTCAGGTTAAAGAGATGGGTCTTTAATCTAGATTTAAACTGACAGAGTGTGTCTGCCTCCCGAACAAGGCTAGGTAGATTGTTCCAGAATTTGGGCGCTAAATAGCAAAAGGATCTGCCGCCCGCAGTTAATTTTGATTTTCTAGATATTATCAAATGGCCAGAGTTTTGAGGTCGCAGCAGACGTGAAGGGCTATAATTGGATAAGAACTCGCTCAAGTACTGAGGTGCTAAACCATTCAGGCATTTATAAGTAATTAGCAAGATTTTAAAATGTATACGATGTTTAATATGGAGCCAGTGCAGTGTTGACAGAACCGGGCTAATATGGTCATACTTCCTGGTTCTAGTAAGAACTCTAGCTGCTGCATTTTGGACCATCTGGAGTTTGATTATTAAGCACACAGTGCAACCACCCAATAAAGCATTACAATAATCTAACCTTGAGGTCATGAATACATGAATTAATGTTTCTGCATTTGACATTGTGAGCATAGGGCATAATTTAGATATATATTTAAGATGGAAAATGCGGTTTTACAAATGCTAGAAACATGACTTTCAAAGAAAAGGTTGCTATAAAATATCACACCTAGGTTTCTAACTGATGACGAAGAATTGACAGAGCAGCCATCAAGTGTTAGACAGTGTTCTAGATTATTACTGTACATGCAGAGGATTTTGGTCTGATAATTAACACCTGTTTTTTCAGAATTTAGCAGTAAGAAAATACTCGTCATCCAGTTTTTTATATCGACTATGCATTCCGCTAGTTTTTCAAATTGGTATGTTTCGCCGGGCCGCGAAGAAATATAGAGCTGAGTATCATCAGCATAACAGTGAAAGCTAACACCGTGTTT